TGGTAAGTGGATGCTGTGACCCATAGACATCCACAATTATCTTAAACTAAGGATCAAAACGCAAATGCGTTGTCACCCCTTAGGAATAAGATGGAATGCCTCGATTCCAGTAAAAAGTGTCTCCGGTTCTCTACACTCACCATACGAAACACAGCAGCGTTAAGCTGTTATTTTACGCTGGTATTCTATAAGAGCTTGGTCTTACCTCGGCCGACCCATTCGTGCTACAACTATAATATAGCTGTAACGTGGCTCTACCACGTAAAAAGTGAAGAACTTATTCGTTATAATCTGGTTCAATTTGGTATTTTTGGCGTAACAATAACGTTCATTCGTAAACGGCACGATTGTTCATTAATCGTAACAGTGTATTAAAAATAATTACCACGTCAATTATTTTTTTATGCTATACTTTGATATCCACAATCTATTAATTCTAGTGTCATCTATTTTACTATTCTAGTGTTATAATTTTACGTGGTAGAGCCATGCTGCAGGTATATTAGTAGTGTAGTTGTACTAAGGATGGGTCGGCTCGTCCGGAGGAGGACCACGCTCTCACAGAATACCAGCGTAAAATAATAGCTTAACGTTGTGGTTCGTATGGTGAGAGTAGAGAATTGGAGACCCTTTTTACTGGAAACGAGACAATCCATCTATAGTCCTCATGGGTGAGAACGCATCTGCGTTTTGATTCGTAGTCGGAGGAAAGATGTAGATGTCTATAGGCCACAGCTACCACTTACCATCAGGTGGACTGTGTGCTCGTCTGTCACCCTTATTCTATAAAAAATAATTAAAGGAATTTGTAAATTGTTTTTTTTTAAATATAAAATATTTTAATGTTAAAACCATGTAATATGTTACTAGGTGGTAGGAATGAGTCCGTCTCTCCAGCTACCATCTTCTTAGCTACTTATGCCGCCATGTAGCAGTTCTCGCACTGCTGTTCCAGTCTTTTTTTTATAGGATAGGGTGACAAACTAGCACACAGTCCACCTGATGGTAAGTTGTTTTTGTAGTTGTTGTTGTGGTATAAAGGGTCACCGGGTATCTACATTCACCATATCAAACACAGCGGTAACGTAAAATAAAGTAAAGTTACAGCCTATATACGTCCCACTGCTGTGCACAGGCCTCCCCTCATTTCTGAGAGGGTTTTAGGGCAAGGAAGTGTCCGCCGCGGTGCCCCAATGCGTGTTGGCGAACTTCACATGTCTTCGAAATTTTTTTGTTATTCCTCAGACAGTTCCCTCACGATGTTTTCCTTCACCGCCGAGCACGAGGTAAATACAGCACTTAAAATTGCAATTAACAATTTCATTGGTGCCGGGTTACTCGCGTTCTGTTATTTTTACAGCGAGCGTTAACCGTCTGAGCTACCACGGCTATAACACAGCGGTAGTAACCCGCTATTTCACGTTGCATCCTAATACATTTGCAGCGTTGCTCTACCACGTATAATTATTTTTTTTCCAAACCTTAACTCAGTTTTTTTCCAACCATACTCGACATGTTTGTGTTGCCATTCGCAATTGTCTCCGCCTATCAAATTTATTTTTTACGCAAAAAAATGTAGAATATAGAGCGGTCGCTGCGGGAAATCATTTAGATCTTCACGCCTGTTATTGAAATCCGGAAAAGCAGTGATTGATCATAACTCGGACGGTTGAGCAATGTAATTATGTTACAGTATCGCGCTGTATTGTTACCTAATGAAAATATTTTATCTCACTCTTAATATACCGATGAAACTAAATAGTTTTGTGTAAGACTGTGCGGCATGTGATTATGAATGTAGCAACACGCTTCATGTAGATCGTTTTAAATCAGGGGTGTGCACACTTATAGTGTGGTCGTTGACCATAAAATATTTAGGCCGCAAATGACAGTTTAATGATTAAAGTAAAACATTTTTTTATAGAATTAGGGTGAGTAATAATAATAAGGAAAGTAAGACAAATGTTTTTTTTTAAATAGAATAAGTGCGACAAATGTGCACACAGTCCATCTGATGGTAAGTGGGATGCTGTGGCCCATAGACATCTACATTTATTCTTGATTAAGATTCAAAACGTAGATGCGTTGTCACCCCTGAGGACTAAGATGGAATACTTCGTTTCCAGTAAAAAAGTGTCTTCTGATCTCTACACTTGATGGTAAGTGGCTGCTGTGGCCTATAGACACCTACATTTAACCTCGATTAGGATTCAAAATACAGTCTTGTTTCCAGTAAAAGGGGTTTCCGGTTCTCTACACAGCAGGTGCATTTCTGAAATAGGCCTTTTATTTTTTTACTGTTGATTCGATACGTTGCCTTATTTTGTTGCGTTACCTGTAAAAAGATGCAACGCCTGCTCTTTCAATATAAAATAGTAATATAATACGATACAAATACTTTATTTCAGGCAAAGAACTTAAAAATTAAGAACATTGGACCATAGCAGTATATACCTTAACCAAAAATATATAGGTATATAAAATATAAACTTAACACTATTATAGGGAACTTTCTTCTTTGGCGCGAGGAATGTCTTTTTGTATTTTGCAGGAACCTGGAGTACGTAGGACTTAATGTAAAGTTAGGTAGGAATGTAAAGTTACAGCCTATATATGTCCCACTCCTAGGCACAGGTCTCCCTCTCATTTTTAAAAAAGTTTAAAGGCAAGGGAATGTGCCCTGCTGCCCTCCCCGGATGCGCGTTGGCATACTTCACATGTCTTCGAAATATATTTTTTATTTAGCATCATCGAACCCGGATTACTTTTTTATTAGGAATTGATTAAGAAAGAGTGTAGTTTGCAAGATGATGTTGTGACCATGATTAAGAAAGGAATGCTTCGGTGGTTTGGTCATGTAGAAAGAATGAATGAGGAAAGAGTGACAAAGAAAATGTATGTTGCAGAAGTGAATGGCAGAGTCGGAAAGGGACCTCCTAGGCGAAAATTTATCGACCAAATTGGCGATTTATTGAAAACGGGCCAAATTAGGAGTACCCTTAACCGACGAGCATGTATGCGTAGGTGTATGGATGTGAAGGAGGCGAGAGAGGTGTGTCAGGATCGTGCCAAATGGAAGTCTGTAGTCTCTGCCTACCCCTCTGGGTGACAGGCGTGAGTGTTTATGTTATTATGTTTTATGTTATGATTAAGAAAAGATGAAATTTACCTTCCCCCCCCTTTTTTTCATATGCTGTAATGAACTAACAAGCCTGTGCGAACGAGAGCATTGAGAGAAGTTGGGTCTTCTCTTAATCTTGTTTCTTTAGAGCACGCGGAAGAAAGGTCTGAATATTCTCATCGTCCTAAATTGTCCTTATACTGTTGGTAAATAAACATCCTTTGCTAAAATAAATTTTTGGTGTCTAACTCCTTTACTAAAACTAACTAAGAAATTCCGAATTTAGTTATCTTTTTAATTCACTTAGAACTGAAACGAGTATAAAAAAAAAAAAAAAAACAAACTGCTGTCGTAGACAAACTACGTTCAAAATATTACATTAAAATATTCATATATTCAATACAACCTATTTACTACTTTGAATCTTGAAATTTGGTCTACTACTGAATATATTCTTTTTATTATTTTGAGGTTTTATCTTTTATCATCACTTTGTCGCCTTAAAGATTTGAACGGGATAATATAGGTTATAACATTCTCTTACATCGCTACTACACCGGGAACTGTCAGCCAGGTGAATAGTCTAATATATAAAAATTAAATTTAGTTTGTTCTTATTTTATGCGCTGCCATACCTTTGTGCGAGATGGCGCCAAAACTTTGTCACCTTATTGCTTGCACTTGCGAGGTTATACGCATAGTACATATAAATGACAGTTGGTGACATATTTATTTGAAAGTCATAATATATGATTCAATTTCAAATAATGTATTATCATTCCTAATTAAACAGTATAATATAACTCTTCTAAATTTAAAACGATATTTCCACAATTTTTTTTCAGCTAGCATTAAATAATATTTGCTAACTATATTACATACTATGCAAAATAATGTAAATATTTTACAAAAAAAATGAGGTGAATTTTCTCAACAATAAGTAATAATTTGCACAGACAGTCTAGTCGTAATTAAAAGTCCGCCAATTGGTGCAGACATATCTTGATGTCGGTTACGTTCGCACGTATTGTATTTGGAACGCATCGGTTAGTTACGTAATTGAGCCGCCGGTTTTAACGGCGGTTTGGTTTGTCAAGAAAGAAATTGACCATTTCATAAGCATATACAAACTCTCACGGCTGTTATCCAGAGAATGCGACTGACATAGAAACTATTTTAGTTTTGCAGAAGAGGGTCATAAGAGCACTAAATTCGAAGTCTCTTAAAACACTAAAGAAAAAATATATTAACTTTGGCCTTTCAGTATACTATAAGTATATTCTTTTTACAGTGTATTAGCGGTGTAAGTATACCCAACTACCTCATAGCACCCGTGGGTGTCGTAAGAGGTGACGGAGGGAAACAAATCCGGAGATGAACAGCAACGTCTTCCTCATAATGAAAAACTGCGGTTACCAACCCCCTTACCAGGTGTGGCACCTATGGCAAATATCCTCCCTATGCCTAGGCAGTCTATGGGGGAGGCCTATGGTTAGTAGTGCACTGTGTTACATCCGTCGTGCAAAATCACTTCATTATTTCAAGTATTATTGAAACTTATTACTGAGGAACACTATTAGTTAAGTTATTTATTTCTGGTTATTCCCAGGACAGAGGTTATTTCCGAACCAGTGGTAAAATTATAAAAAAGACTAAAATTAATAATATTATTTAAATAGGAATTACTTGTACTTAACCTATATTGGATCAAAAAAAATCATTCTGTTAAGGTAGTATTTCACGCTGGTATTCTGTGAGAGCGTGATCTTTCCCCGGTCGAGCCGACCTATTCGTGCTACAGTCATATTATAGCTGCAGCGTGGCTCTAGAACGTAAAATGTATCTCACCATTGTGATTATTTCATTTGTCTCTCCATAGCTCTGCAAACGCAAAGAAGTGGGAGGTGGAGCTCGCGACCCTCAAGAGCAATAACCTTCGGCTGACCGCCGCCTTGCAAGAGAGCACCGCCAACGTGGACGAGTGGAAACGACAGCTCCATCAGTACAGAGAGGAGGTGGCCCGCGCGAGGCATTACGCAGGTAAAGGTAGGTATTTCATCAATTTGTTGACTAACTGGAGTTTTACACTGTAATCTTCATTCTTCTAAATACTTCGTGAACAGTCCTCTGTTGGGCTAATGGACTGGCAACCGCAGAACCAGACGTCTTGCACCTTTTTTATAGCATAGGTTGACACAGATGATCCGGTAAAGCTTGGACTTATTCTGTGGCCCCATATATATATATATATATCATATATAATAATATATATATATATATATGTATATAAAGCGTTGTCACCGGATATGGCAGGGACCTAAGTATCGAATGCCGTTTTCTAAAAAAATGTTTATTTGAGCAATTATAGACGTGCCGTAAAATGTTTTTTATCTACTTAAAACTCTTTATTTACTATAAAAAAAAAAGAATTGAGTAGTTTTGAGTTGCGTTGTAAAATACATTTTGAAATATATAATAATAAATGTTTCAGTTATACGCGTAATTCAAATTAAAATAATATTAGTGTGACTTCTGTTTTTGCAGATTAGATGAAAAATAACATATTGGGATTGTAAAATTCTAAATATAACACAAATGAATTTTAAATGCAGTTATGTCAACGAAATTGACTATCATGGTGCTATGTGTAAACGAACTATGCATTCCTTGGGGGAGGCGTGGACTTGTGAAAGGCTGTAATGATGATGATGATGAAACGAACTATGCGTCATTAGCTATAGTAGTCTACGATATAACTAGGATCACTCGTGTACGTTCGAAATATAAATACTTCATAGTGAACTTTGTGAACGGTGGCGATATATACTGATGTAAATTTTTTCTTTTTTCAGTAAACGTTTTTATGCAGTTGTTTTTTTTATATTGTTTCAACCATTAAGCTTGTTTTAATTCTTCTACTTTTAGGAATATACGAAGTTTCCGTTTATTTATCCCTTTCTAATCTGATTAATATAAAATATAACTAATATTTTAGAAAGAAACATTAATTTCCACACTTTTCTAACAAATAAACTTCCCACACCATGAAAGCTGTCAATATTACCGAGAGAGATCAGGCGCAGGACCAACGACTTTACGTGCTTTCCGAAGCACGGGGGTGAAACCCCCCCACATCCTGACTTCGGGCTGCAACTGAGAAATTCTTAACAGCCAATCTCCATATTTAATTTTGGCCCAATCCGGATTTGAACTCGAAATCTTATGAATACCCATTGCACTAAACCAACGAGGCAGTTAAAAGGGCTATATAGGCAGTATATATAGTGTGTGTAATGTTTAAAAATTGGCTAATAAAACTTGATCCTTTGGTCATCTATACTCTCAATGAATAGCCATCCATCCAGTCCAGTCTTATGAATAGCCAAATATGCAGGGTTATTTTGCAATAACCGGCCAAATTTGCAGAGAAGGTTCAGAATAAGTAATATAGGCGAATGTTGAATAAAAATTAAGTAAATAAAATCTTAAACGTTCTGTCCTTTTTATCTTAACTCGAAATGCGTGGTAATGCATCATTTTAACTGATTTTACTACGCATGCATTCATAAGGGTCGATCGGTAGGCAAAAATGTTGTTGCCCATAAACTACATTCAATTTGGGATAATTTCATTTAAAAGTAGAAGCCTTATTTACTAGTATTTTCAAAAATAGTCAAAAAAGTAAATCATTTTTTATATTTGAACTTAAGTGTAAAATTTTCTACTATTTAAAAAATAACACTGTATATAGGAATTTCCTGTTCAATTCCAGGCGGTGACGCGAATGAAGTAGAACAACTCAGGCAACGTGTCGCTCAATTGGAAGCCGAACTAGCGCAGAAGAACGAAGAGTTGGCTCAGATTACGAAATCGAAGAAGAGTGAGCAGGTAGGTTACTTGTATTCCATTAAAGAATCATTTGCTTTTATCGCCTCCATGGGTCGCTTCTTTTTTTTTCTCATAAGGTCTTTCGCGATAGTGATTAGTGACTTGTTGAAGCGATGGCGTAGCTTTCTTGACTATCAAAAGTGCTTTGTTAAGGTCAATCCATACAAAAAAAAAATTGAAATATCTGTTTGTATTGTCAAAATAACAGCTTTTTATTAAAATGAAAGTTTATTTGTTTGTTCTGGATAATCTCTGAGATGGCTTGACCGACTTTGACGGTATTTTCACTGGCATATAGCTGATGTTATTACTAAAGAATTAGGGTTAGCGCAAAAATAATAAATGCCCACGAAACCCAATCGTAATAAATTCCACGCGGACGAAGTCGTTGGGAACAACCAGGTTAAAATAAAAATATTTTGACTGACTTGTCAGGCATGTTGCCAACCGAGGGTTTTTGAAGTGAAAGCTTCTTTAGGCACGATGAACACTTGGAATGGGGAAAAAGTACTAAAAACTGACGTTACGTAAACAGTCACGCTCAGGTACATCAAATTGATGAAAGTAATGTCGAAAATCCCATTGATAAAATTTATATGTATTTATAATTTTTGTATTATATTGATAAAAATCAATAATCATTATTTTTCATGTAAACGCATGATTTTTTTTAATATGTATATTCATACACTAATAAAATAATTTCTAATAAAAAATACTTCTTAAAAAAACTTCTTCTTAACAACCCAAAAATAATGTTTCCAACTTTGTGAACTAAAAAGTTTGTACTTCTGACGTGCAGTCCTATGACTGTGACAGTTTGTTTTTATTATTTTTAGTCATAATCAGGAAGATGCTGCTACCCACCTGTCTTTTTCCTTTCTTTTTTTACAGAATAAAGGTGACAAATGAGTACACAGTCCACCTGATAGTAAGTGGATGCTGTGGCCCATAGACATCTACATTTACCTTCAATAAAAAATCAAAATGCAGATGCGTTGCCAGCCCTGAGGACTGAGATGGAATGCCTAGTTTCCAGTAAAAAGAGTCTCCGGTTCTCTACACTCATCATACGAAACACAGCAGCATTAAGCTGCTATTTTATGTTGCTATTCTGTGAGAGCGTGGTCCTACCCCGGTCGACTCCCGACCCATTCGTGCTGCAACCACAATATAGCTGCAGCTTGGTTCTACTACGTAAAAAATTGTCTTATTTTCCTCAGTAGTTTCTTACAACATCTAAGAGATGATATGATTCTCTTCACTTATACTGTTACCACACTAACTATCGTGTATATTTTTACATATTTTTGATTCCCAACATTTTGATAACTCTGCAGCAATCATGGTGATAGATGGGGGGAGGATTGAGGGGGCACTGTTTTGACGTACTAATGTCTGATATATACTTATTAAATATTTAACAGATCTACGCAAATTAAGTTTATACCATATCAAATATCGATATAAAATATCAAATATCGACTGTATTTTGTAGGACGCAGAAGCGAAATTAGCTCAAAGCCAGCTCGAGCTTGCTCTAGCCGCTCAAGATGGACAGAGACAAGTGATACAGGCGCTAAACGACCAACTGGCGAGGCAACTGGAAGAGCTGGTGAGTTATGTTTTCATTCTAGACCTAATTGTCATTACATAAAGTTCATTTTACAATTTTTCATAATATTAAAAATAAAAACGAGCTAAAAGTCTACACGATGGTAAGTGACTACTGCAACCAATGGGCTCCTGTAACCAAATTTAAACAAGCGTGCACCCGCTGCTGTTGCTTGGTGGTCTAGGTAGGAAAGAGGACCACCCTCTTTCCTTCATTAACTCCTAGAAGATAGAAAAGGAGCTGTAAAATCTTTTGATCATCATATATTAGTATTTTTGAACATCATATATTAGATCATATACTAATACATGAAAACCCCTTTTTAAGCATATCACACGCACAGAGGAGTGTGAGGATTAGCATAGTAAAATACAGTCCTAACTTCTGCTAACATTCGGTCATCGAAGGCGGGAAGGACGGGGCAATCGTGCGATTCGTAGCGGGTAGAGACGAATTCGAAGCACATCCCGAGCGACTGACGGCCGCTCGGGAGCTATCTGCTAGGGTTGTCCTGTCACGCAAATAAATTAAAGCAGTTCACACTACATGTACTTTAAAAAACTGTGGGTCGTCCTCATTTAAAGATAAGAAATGAAACTTTCATCAGTCTTTGCATATACAGGAATTTGTTTAAATGTGAAATAAAATAAATCAGTTTTTAATACTTCCCGTTCTGATAACCCTAGCAATTTATTGTGAATATCGGCTTTTCCGACAACAACAAAAGCGATGACTGACTGTATGTTCTTCTTAGGCTGTGTGGGTTAGTTTATATGAAGAAGTGCATAATGCTAAAATTTATATATAATACGTGTTACAAATATATGAATTAATATGAAGAAAAGCAAAGAGTATATAATATATTTTAAACTGAGTAGAGATTGTCGCCAAATAATTTTTAAATATTGCCAAGAAATAATTACTATAAATAATTAACAGGTGAATTGAATGAGCTGTAAATTTTGTGTGATTTTAATGGTTCCTTTTTTATAATAGTGTAATTGTTTTAAATTAATAGAAATAGTTTTGTAAATGTAGACTAAATGCCACAGAAAAAAGGGTTTATTATATATTTTATATATTAAATATCTATGTCTTCTATATATATATATATATATATATATATATATATATATATATATATATATATATATATATAATATACGTGCGGTTGAAAATGAAATGCAACTTGCTTAATTTACAAACTTATTTTTTTATAGAATTATAGTTTCAAACGAGCACACAGTCTACCTGATGGAAAGTGGATGCAGTGGCCCATAGACATTTACATTTATCCTCCATTAAGAATCAAAATGCAGTTGCTATGTCACCCCTAAGGACTAAGATGGAATGCTTCGTTTCCAGTAGAAATGGTCTCCCGGTTCTCTACACTCACCATACGAAACACAGCAGTCTTATGCTGCTCTTACGCTGGTATTCTGTGACAGCGTGGTCCTGCCGCGGTCGAGCCGATCCATTCGTGCTAAAATAATGCAGCTGCAGCGTGACTCTACCACGAGAGTAATGAATAAACGAGGCATTATAATTGCACTACTTTCCCTCAGACGACGATCCACCGCGAGATCAACACAGCGTTGCAGACATGAGACGCGGCCACCGTGCAGCCGCCGCCGATATATGCGGCGGTCAGTAAGGACCGGCGCGCGCTTCCCCTTCTATTGCGCGCGCCGTTGCCCTTGCCCGCTCTCCCCAACCCCCAACTACCCCCAAACCCCCAACTCACTCACTCCCAACACCCACCGAATCCCCAAAACCCCCAGAACTTACCGTACCAGCCGAACCCCCAGTACCCGAACCCTCCATTCCCCCAGTACCCCCAAAATCCTCAGGCCGGCGCGCAAGCCCCGCCCGAGCCCGCCTACGTCACGCTAAAGGCGAAGAAATGAACGCTGCTCTCGGTATTTCGTAAGGTGCACGAGTTTTTTTGAATGTAACGAGCAAGGGATGTGGTGACGGTAAAATGGGAGGGTAGTCGGTGTTTTGTCGATTCGCCTTGGACGTCGCTTTTACAGTTCACATCCAAAAACTGTATGCGTTGTACGTTTCAGCTTTGTATTGCGGGATAATTTTGTGTGAATACGTGGGGTTGGGCTCCCGGAGTCTTCGATTATACCAGATTCGCGTTACGTTTTTTTTATTTCAAACAGTAGCAATTGTAATCATTTATAATAACATATTAACAGTTAAACGTGAAAACCTGATTTCGTGTTAGAAATTGGAACAAATAAAATCGTATTGTATAATGTATTGACCCATGCAAATTACTTTTGTCTATATTCTAGAACTTGTTTACACTAGTTTGGTACTGTAGTTAACATATAAAGTAAAAAAACATTGTTCCTGTAACGAAGTAACACATACAAGTTAATGGCAAAATTATAGTGATGTTTGTGACGATGGAAAAGTTATCGATAAAATACCGAATTTAAACTTTCTATAATCAATGTGCATTTTTTATTGTACGTACATCATTTAATTATTATAAAAGTCGATTAATTCATAACTGGCCAAAATTTCTTTATTTACTTACATCCAGTGCATTATATCTAGTGTGAATTTGATTTTGGGATCAAACCACAGTGTTTAGACGTTGTAATCTTTTGCTGACGAGGCTTTTAATACTCCAATGTTTTTGTACCACCGAGTTTTATTTATTATTTTATAATTCGATAACAAGTTTAACGATTTGCATTGAAATCTTTGTTTTTTGTTTCTAAATTCTAAAGATATTATATTGCTTTATTTCGTAGTAGAAAAATATGTTTTAATTGTTTAAAGTAATTTAGGACTTTAACATTAAAAATTATTTTATTGGTGTAAATATAGGTTCTTTAGTTATATACATTACTATCTTAATATATTTTGTATTATCTTGATTATCAACAGTTGACGTACGTACATCATACATACATAAATACATAAACACTCACGCCTGTCACCCAGAGGAGTAGGCAAAAACTACAGACTTCCATTTGGCACGATCCTGACACACCTTTCTCGCCTCCTTACATCACTAATCCTTAATATAGTAAAAGTCAAAGGCCCACAAAAACTGCAATGATTAGTTAATTATTGAATAAAAATATTTTAATTTTAGGACTTATTTACGCACACTTACACTTATAGTTACGTTTTAAGTTAATTTACTTATAGTTACGTTTTAAGTTAATTTAAGTAAATTATCGTCTATGTTTCCCTTAACGTGTCTGTTACCCGTGTTTTGACACATCGGAATTAGGGTTGCCAGCTTTTCAAGGCAAAATAGAATTTTTAGACCATTCTGTATAGGTTATTTTTACGGTATATTAAAAAACAAGAACTGATTTCATTATATTTTGAACGCAGATGATACGTTGGTTGCATCCTAGCCATAGTTGTAACAGGTCAACAGGTGTAACAGGTTATCAGTGGTGCCAACACTAACCCTTTCCCTGTTATATATTATGTATTATATATATATATATTATATATTATGAACATTTCAATTGTTTAAATTTTGTCTGTTTCGCGGACAGGGCAACTGTTAACCAATCGCTTACCTTTATTCTAGTCTACTTCGTATATAGTACATTTTAAAGTCCATTTTTCAACTAAACTTGATGAAAGGCGTCAATCGTAGTAGTCAAACAATCATGATATATCCTTGGTCGAACCTATAGGAGAGGCCGCGGATGAATTATCCTATAAAGCGACAAAGCCATGTTAAATAACATATATTTATGTAAAATGCTCAGGTCACGTTAAAGAATAACTTTAAATATTATTCAAAAAAAAATTTCGATGACACATATATTCAAGTAAACATTGCAACATGAAATTAATCGCTATCTAGTTTTTATAATATATCAGTGATTTAGATTATCATCATTCGAGGATAAGGTGCATAATTGTGGATATGCGTAAAAACTAGCCTCGCCAAAATTGTGCAGTGCCCAACCTGAACTTGTCCGACTTTACCCACCACGAACACTTCCTCCAAGTGTACATTAGTTCTACCATACATACTAGTTAAAGATGTGTGCAAAGACTTACGTTTTTATAAAAGATTAGCACTATATAAGCGGATAATCGCTTGAATTCTTATCATCAAAAATCGCCCTTATTCAATTATAATAAAGTTGTAACTATTATGCGTGAGATTATTTACTCTTATGAGAAACTAACTCTATTTGGATATCTAAAAAGCTCTTGAGGAATGCTTAGACTCCTCTCCTACAAAAAATATAATAGTTTTACACGTTATGGGCCGGGTCTTAGTGAGTTGATCTATTTAATCAGTACAGTACAGTGGGCGAACTATTCATTTGCCTATTGTTTGACTGTTCTAAAGAATAAAGTCAAAAAACCTATGATTAAAAAATTCGATGTGAAATACTTTTGAAAAAATACGAAATTGTTAATCCTAACTTCAAGATATTTTTAAACTTTGAAATAGGAAATTACAAAGTTAGGGAATAATAGGGCGATGAAGTAAAAAGCTACTTTCAAAGACGTTCGCTGTCACCGGTTTACTTTTAAGGCTATTACAAAACTAGTAACAACTGAACTAACTACTAACTAACCCTTTAGTTGAAGAATAAAAAACTTATCGAAAACCGCAAAAATATGCCAAATAGCATTTTATAAAGCACTTAGATTTTGGAATGCAAAAGTAGAGTTACTGGCTGCACGGAGAAATACCGACGGAATGACGGAAGCGCCACATTTCTAGAGTATTCTGATAGTTAACGACAGGCTGTGCCGTGTCCTATCTTTAAGATTAATTAATTAATTAATTGATATTGATAATATAAAAATTTTGATCAAATGATAGGTTAAGAGTGTTTACACGTGTATACTTTCGGTTGTATTTTGTTAACATTATTTCTAGAGTAAATTACTGACTAAAAAGTCCCGTAAAAATAATATCTTCTATTAGAAAACTGAAGGAATTTATACAGTAAATATTATTCGCGAAAATTAAACGGATGACTCGAATATATGTTACCTGTTTGTTAATATATCTTAATATAATTATGTTCTGGACAGAGTTCTAGACTGCTAGATGCCAAGAGCCAAAATGACTTTCTACGATCGTATATCATTCGTATATCAGGTCGCTATAGAAAATTATAAAAATGACTAGCTTTCATTTTATAAATTTTTAATTTTTTTAAAGTTTTGTATAGCGTAAAAGATCGTAGAATTTTATCTTAGCTAACCCCGCTGGACTGTAAAGGATTTCAAGGATTTGAAAGTGGATCATTCTTTTACCAGCTTAAAAAATAACACCATAGTATATTGTATAAAATGACTTAATTTTGTCGTTGTTCCATTTTAGCATCCGTAGGTATTAAGTTACTCTCACGTAGCCTAATCTTAGTGGTGACAGATGATATCGCGTGATCAAGTGGGTGACGACTCAAAAGTCCAAAACATTGGGCTTATCTCTCGATGCACTTCATGCCTATTCGCCAAAATCGATCAGTTATAAGTCTCGGCACGTCACTCTAGCGCTGAACGAAACATGGATAGGATAGCTGCGAATGTCGTATCGGTGCGGTGGACGGAATGCGACTGGAGAGCCAATCAGCGCGTGCGAACGATACGCAATAATGCGTAATGCGGCCAGTTATGCGCAACTGTCACCGTTGTACGGTCCAATGCTGTCAATGGGCCTTTTTGACATGAAATTGCATTTTTGACACTGTTTCTTGCCGATCAGGTGCTAAAGGTACAAATAAAAAGTTATCCGAATCGACGTTTAACAATCTCATGTCATATGTAGAAATAATATTAATAAAATAATGCCATATATAAAAGGAATATAATATTCTTTATTTTTTTCCATTGTTTTATTCAATTTGAAAGTATCCACGTGCTCACACTCAAAAAAACCAACGTCACTTATTCTGGCAATTTACAAGTTTGGCCAGAAAAACGTATACAAAAGAATATTTTAGAATTGACAGAAATAAAATTAACCATAATTGAATCAATTTAAATTTTCGATTAACCTAAGATAAGAAAATACTTAAAGAAATGTAATTGTAAGTGGTTGTTTTTAAATTACAATGAGACTAGGTACTTCTAAATGATTCCTTGACACTTCGATCTTTTCTTGCATTTGTATTCTGTTCTCGAATCCTTTAATTAATACGAAATACAGCTTTATTTAATTTAAGATTTATTATAGTTTATAAATATTTTATTTCGTTGATATAAGAGCTATGTATTATGATTAGACTGTCGGAGTCGACTTGATATATTTTAATTAATTGTATTGTACATTACCATTGTTAGTCTTAAGATTTACTAGAGTCATCACAAGTTCCCGAATAAACTTCAGGTGGTAGGTAGATTTTATAATTTCCCTGCAATTTCGTCCGAAACCCTGTGTCTCATAGAACCCTTAGCAAATTAGTGTTATGTTTTGGCGAGTAAAGATACTCCTAAGCATTTACTGCAAATAAAGAAAGTAAAAGTAAAAAAAAACTAACGTAATAAAATCCATAGATAAAAATGAGACAAAAACTTCTAGTTATGCTCATGGTTTGACTTTACACGTCAAAATGTAAAAAAAGAAAACATATGATATCATTGAAAA